CGGGCATGGGGGGAGGATCGGCCGCGGGACGAATCCCGGCCGTGAGGTGAAGAGTGGCGGTGGGGTGAACCCGGGCCCCGGAGTGAACCCCGGCCGTGAGGTGAACCTCTGCCGTGGGACACATCCCGGCCGCGGGGTGAACCCCGGCTGTGGGGTGAATCCTGGTCGTGGGGTAAATGCCGGTCACGGAGCAAATCCCAGGCATGAAGTGAACCTCAGGCACGGGACTAACCCCAGGCGTGAGGTGAGGCACGGCTGTAGGGTGATACTTGGCCACGGGGCCAGCGCTCGGCCCCAATCTCCTTGGCGTGCCACGGTGGGAGCTCGGCCCGGCAGTGTGGGTGACCCCCAGCGTGTCGGTGAGGGTGCTCGGGGTGAGGGTGTGTTCGGGGTGAGGGTGCTCTCGGGGTGAGTGTGTGTTCGGGGTGAGTGTGTGTTCGGGGTGAGGGTGTGTTCGGGGTGAGGGTGCTCTCGGGGTTAGGGCGTTTTGGGGAGACCCCGGTCTCTCCACCTTTTCCCAGTGGTTTCCCGATGGTCCGCAGCAGTTCTGTAGGAGGAAGATGACAGGAGTGGCACCTGCAATAAAACCTGGGCTGCCAGCCCAGGCGCGGTGGTGCTTGCAAGTGAAAGCACACGCTTAAATACTGAGGTTTGATACAGTCTGGGGCCCCCTTGTTAAACTGGAGTGCTCCTGGTAAATGTGGTGGAGGGCTCTGCCGCTCCCAGTCACATCACATTTTATCTGACCTTCTGGAAATCTTTAGACCAGTGGCTTTTATCGAGCCCATTGGGAAACTTTGAATAGGCTGAGTATTTGTTTTGGGGAGGTACAACTTCTCCTGAGTTGCCGTGCTGATAAGGATTTCACACGGCCTTGGTTAAGCAGGGAATTTTTTACAATTAAATCTGTATCGGTGCCCTCCCCACAGCTTGAAGCTAGCCTAGAGGGGCAAACACCCACCCAGAAGTTGTTCATGGTGTGTAGACAGGGCTGATAATGAAAGCAACAGTAATGTGGTTATTGTTAAAATGAAAAAAAATAGCACATTATTCCTAACAACAACGTGACACAACCCAGGGAATTCCTAGAAGCCGTATCCCAGAGAGCTCTCTGGTGAGGGCAGAGCACGGCCTTTACAGAGACGGCCCTGCCAGTGATTTTATTTCTGTGAAAAATAGGGAAAGTGGTCCTGCCAAACATCCCTGTCCCGCAAGGGAGCATCCACGGGCCACGTGCATCCAGCATCCAGGCTGGTGAGATCTGGAGCACCACAGCCCGACCTGGTGTCCTGGACGGAGCCCCGTTCCCTCCTCACCGAGGGAGGGATTCCCAGCCTGATGTTAGAGTTTTGCTCTGGAGCAGATGGACGATGTGCACTGCTGACAGCTCCCTGCTGCCTGCTCTGGAATAAGGATCCACATCACCTAGCTGCAGGATCCTGTCGGTTCACCCAAACAGAACTTGTGTTTGAGCTGCAGCCTGGGCATTCCATCTCCTCCAGAGGTGACTGAGGAGGCCAAAAGCCCCGCTGCAGCGTGGCTGTTGGGTTTCACAGAGCAGTGGAAATTCTGCAGAGCTCTGCTGTCTGCTAAACAAATCCTGTTCAACACTTGCAGTTTTGTTCCCTTCTTACTATTAAAAGCGGGGGCTGCTCCAAGTGCTGAAGCACAATTTAATTTATTCCCTTTTATCTCTTCCTACAAGGGCTCTTTCTCATTTAGTTTGTGCATTTAACTGAAGGATAAAACTCAGTGTAAATGGCCCATGGGTGTCCCTGTGCAAAGTTTAGTTTTCTCCTGTCCCTGGAAGGCCAGACCCTAATGTGTCAGGGGTGAGACAGCCCATCAGCAGCCTGCTGGACGAGCTTACCTCTGCTGCAGAATAAAAAAGGCAAAACCTTGCAGATCCGTGTCAGTGGAGCTTCCCACCGGGTCTGCACGGCAAACTTCTGCTGGCACAGCTCTGTCTGCGCGAGCGGTGACGGACTGTGACCCGTGACTGACAGAGCTGTGGCAGCAGAAGTCCCAGCTGCAGGAGCAGTTATCTGCAGAAGTGCACTTTCACTGATAGAGCTTGTTTTCGTTTTCTAAAGGGTGTTTTTCCCTGTCCCTGGTAGCAGGGATGTAGCCTGCTCAGGCTGGGAAGGGAAGGGACGGCTGCTCCGGGTGTATTTCCCGTGCGTGGCTCTCCTCTTCCCATCCACAAGCTGTAGGAGCTCCATCACATTTGCAGTGAGGATTGTCTTGTGGAATTAAGTGAGGTTATAGCTGTTCCCTTCCCATCGGAAGGTGCTGATGAAACTTCCCTTTCATGGGATAAACTGGGATCGTTTCGTTGTTTTCCATTAAGAGCCGTGGTTTTGCAAAAAGCCAGGCAGGCTTTTGACCAAGTTTAGCTTTCACACCAGTCCTAGGAGAAATAAGCCAGAAAGTGATCCCAAGGCATGTGTGTAGACTCTTATTAGAAGAATGAAAAAGCACCAGTGGAGAAAAATTAATTAATTTCCACACTGTCTAAGTCTCTACTTAATTTAAATCTAAACCACCAAGAATTAAAACTTAGAGTTAGGTGGATCACAGCAGCCACTGGCTTTTTTGTTTGATTCAATCTGCACAAGTGGGGGGGATGTGTTTTTTCTTACTAAAACCTTCCCCAAGGTTTTAAGTGGTGAAATTATGCATCAGTAACGTGCACAATTTCCAGGCAAACTTTCTTGAACCTCCCCCAAGAAGTTCTGCTTCTGTCAGCTGTAATCTGCTGCACGCTTTTTGGGTTACTTGGGCTTAAAAGGGGAGATAAATCCAAATAAGTGCTTACTTTTTACTTGCTTGCTCTTTTTTGGAGAGAGGTTTTGGGAGTGCCAAAAGGGCACTCGAGGCACAGGATGTAACCAGATTTGCAGACTACTGAGAAAGCAAAAGTAACTTTCCTGGAGTTAAATAAGAAGAGCTTAGTTTTTTGAGAGTGTAAGATGGCATTTGTGAAAACTTGAAAAAAATAAGTTAAGAGATGTCTTAGGCATATTTAGATTCAGGAGGATTTGCTGTGGGTTTAGTGCTTTAGAGCATTAAATGCTAAGCCTCTTGTAATATTTTTTTATTTTTTTGTCCAGATTCTGTGGTTCTCTTGATGGCAGGCTGTAATCAAGGCTTGGGTGCTTGTTGCATTGACAGTGTGGTGTAGCCTCACCTTCTGATTAATTCCTTGGGTTCCAGTGATTTGTCTGTGCAGCTTCTCCATCTCACCTGTAATGACTTAAAAACAAACAAAAAAAAAGGTCTCTTTATCAAGATCCTTAGGTGGTGACAATATTTCTGGAATTCTGCTGCTCTCCTTCCCTGTCTTTCATGCACCTCGAGGCTGTCATCAAAATTCCCACCACAAGACCACCCCAAAAACATCAACTTCAAGTAAACTGAAGCGTCTGGCAGCAAATGGCAGAAAGAATTAAACATGCACAGGATTTGCTGGATCCATTTGTGCCTTCAGGTCTCAGAGGGGGATGCAGAGGGCACCGTGGAAGGCCTTTAGCTGAACTTGCTGACTGGCTCAGTAAATTCACAAAAGGGCTATGTGACACTTGCCTGCAGTGGCAAGGTTCAGGGCCTGACTTGGCTGCTGTTGTGTGGGACCCCTCTTAGAGTTGAAAAAAAAAAAAAAAAAAAAAAAATCCACACTCCCACCCTCCCCAAAACAAAAACAATCACCAAACTGAAGTTACTCTGAATAAAAGAGAGCATTGGAAGAAAAAAAAAAATAAAAATCTTTGTGGAATCCCGTTTAGAAGAACAACTTTTGCAGCCTCTTGGGCATCTCCCTACAGAGATGTAACTTTAGGAACGTTCAGAAATGCACTGATCTACGAGAAACACACTTTATCCCCCTTCTAGGGGGAGATGTTAAACCAGCACTTTGAAAAACGCTCCAGGACAAACAAAAAGCAGCTCCAAGCAATTGTAGCTACAAGTCAGGGATTTTGGGAGTTGCACCCAGACCGGGAGAAGAGAAGAGAACCCCAGTGAGCTGTTGGGTGTCTGGCAGAGGAGTAATTTACCTACAGCTCGTAACCTGTGTGTGCAGAGACAGAGCAGTGAGGGTCCTGTGTACTGCCCCCTGCTCTGGCATTTCTTGAGGGCTGGCATCAGTGGTGGTTACGACTGCACAGCACCATTTATGCTCAGCATTCACCTGTGTGTGCTGTGTTGTCTTCCCCGTCCTGCTTGCCTGGGGAGGAGCTTGGTGTTTTTTCTGAGAAAGACAGAAAAAATGTGAATGAAGGGGCTGTGGGACTCCAAATGCAAATTTGCAGGGTGTAAGTGCTTGTTCTAAATTAAATACATCCCTTCAGCAGGAGTTTAGTTTTGGTTTCCCCCTCACTTGCAGCTGGAAGGTTGGGAAATTTCAAACATGAAGAGGCAAATCCTTCAGAACACCCTGCCACCAGCCCTGTTGATGTGAATCTGGATTATTCCTTACTTTAAACAAAGCATCAAGAGAAACCTCTTGTGC